GACACATTAATTGGTTGCCTCCCACATGACCGCAACCAGGGCTGGGGACCGAACTGCAACTGAGGTACATGCCCTTGACCGGAATTGAACCTGCGACACTTTGGTCTGAGGGCTAACACTCTAACTGCTGAACCAAACCAGCCAGGGCAGGATTAATATTACTTTTAATGTAACTGTTCAATTAATATTACTGTTAATGTATCTGTTAATATACTGTAAATATTACTGTTAGTGTAACTGTTTTACATTTAGTGCACTCAGTTTTTAACTCTTTTCCTTTCCCCTCCTTTTTCTGCCTTTTCTGGTTTTGAGTATTTGCTATTGTTCTATTTTCTCTTTACTCATAGTGCATCAATTATAATTCTTTAAAAATTTTTAGTGGTTGCCCTAGAGTTTTAAATATACATTTGCAATTAATCTATGTCTACTTTCAAATAACTGTATACTGCTTTACAGGTATTGCCGAGTTTTCCCAATTTTTCTCTACCATCTTTTATAACATTGCTGTAATTGATTTTACTTATTCATATGCTATAATAATTCCAGTGCCTTACTATTGTATTATTTTCATGGTTATCTATTAGATCAATTAAAAAATTAAAGATTTTACTTTATCTTTATTCTTGCTCTAACACCCTTCAGGAAGCTTCCTTCTTATACAATTTTTCTTTTCTCAAGGGAACTTCTTTGAACATTTCTTTTTTCTTTTTTATCCTCACTCGAGGACATTTTTGTATTCATCTTTCAGACAGACTGGGAGGGAGAGAAGGAGGGAGAGAGAAACATCAATGTGAGAGAGACACATTGAGGGGTTGCCACCCACACAACCCCAACAGGAGCCAGGGACAAACTGCAACCGAGGTACGTGCCCTTAGCGAGAACTGAACCTGGGTCTCTCTGGTCCATGGGCCAAGGCTCTAACTGCTGAGCTAAACCGGCCAGGGCTCTTTGAACATTTCTTGCAAGGCACGTCTGCTGGCAACAAATTCCTTCTGTTTTGTTCTCTGAAAAAGTATTTCTTTGTCATTTTGAGGGATGATTTCACTAGATATAAAATTATAGATATTCCCATCATTATTTTGTTTCACAGTATTCTACTTGCTTACCTGGTTTCCAAAGAGAAGTCCAATGTAATTGTTATCTTTGTTCCTCTATAGAAAGGTGTCCCGCCTACTCCCATCCTGGTTTCTTTCAAGATTCTTTTTAGCCCTGGCTGGTTTGGCTCAGCAGTTAGAGTGCCGGCCTGCGGTCCAGAGAGTTCCAGGTTCGGTTCCCACTAAGGGCACGTGCCTCGGTTGCAGTTCGTCCCTGGCCCCAGTTGGGGTTGCATGGGTGGCAATCAGTCGATGTGTCTCTCTCACATCGATGTTTCTCTCTCTCTCTTTTCCTCTCTCCCTCCAGCTCTCTCTGAGGATAAATGCAAAAATGTCCTTGGGTGAGGATAAAAAAATTTAAAAAAGATTTTCTTTTTATGTTTGGCTTTCTCCGATGTCAATACGATATACACAGGTATAGATTTGTTATTATATCCGCTTTCCCCTGAGCCTCCTGGATCTGTAGTTTTGTGTTCTTAATTTAGGAAAATGCTGAGCCATTATTATTTTAAATATTTCTTCTGTCCCTTTATCTCTTTCTTTCCCCCTGGTATTCCAATTACATGCTTGTTACACATTTTGTAATTGTCCCACAATTGTGAATTATTTACCATATTTTGAAATGAGAAAGCCTTTTTTTTAGGCAGCCATAAGTAATTATGTAAAACTGATTCACTTTTTTTTTAAAATTATTTTTATTAACTTATTTTTGTTACAGATGTTTCTCTTTTTTCCCCCATTGACACCCTCCTTCCCCACCCCCCACATTTTTCCATTTTTGTTCAGATAGAGTGGGAGGGAGAGAGCGGAAACATCGATGTGAAAGGGACACATCAGGGCTGAGGACGAACCACAACCGAGGTACGTGCCCCTGAATGGAATTGAACTCGGGACTCATTGGTCTGCGGGCCAACACTCTAACCGCTGAGCCAAACTGGCCAGGGCTGTACTACTACTTTATCCATTCATTCATTGATGGACACTTTGGTTGCTTCCGTGTCCTGGCTACTGTAAATATTGCTGCAATAAACAGACATGCATATATCTTTTCAAATTAGCGTTTTGGGTTTCTTCAGATAAATATCCAGAAGTGAAATTTCTGGGTCACAAAGTAGTTCTATTTTTAATTTTTTGAAAAACACCCATACTGCTTCCACAGTGCCTGCATCTATTTGCAATTCCACCAACAGTGCACAGGGCTTATTATTCATGTTCTCGCCAACACTCGTTTATTATTATGATAGCCATTCTGACTCATGTGATGATATCTCATTATGGCTTTAATTTGCATTTTCATGATTATTAGTGATGTTGAGAATCTTTCCATATATCTGTTGGACATCTCTGTTCACTGGAGAAACGTCTATCCAGGTCCGCTGTCTATTTTATTTTTTTTATCCTCACCCGAGGACATTTTTGCATTTATCCTCAGATAGAGTGGGAGGGAGAGAGGGAGGAAAAGAGAGAGAAACATTGATGTGAGAGAGACACATCGACTGGTTGCCACCCATACTACCCCAACCAGGGCCGGGGACAAACTGCAAACGAGGTACGTGCCCTTAGCGGGAACTGAACCCGGGTCTCCCCAGACCGCAGGCCAATGCTCTAACCGCTGAGCCAAGCAGGTCAGGGCTTGTTATATATTTTGTATATTCTGTTCAGTAGGTTGTCTTTTCATTTTGTTGATTGTTTTTTTTTTGGCTGTACAAAAGCATTTTAGGTTGATGTATGTAGTCCAACTTGTTTATTTATTCTTTTGTTTCCCTTGCCTGAGGAGACAAAAAAATATTACTAAGAGTGGTGTCAAAGAGTGGAGGGGGGAGGAGGGACTAGATCAGTGGTTCTCAATCTTCCTAATGCCGTGACCCTTTAATACAGTTCCTCATGTTGTGGTGACCCCCAACCATAAAATTATTTTCGTTGCTACTTCATACTGTTATGAATCACCATCAGAAATATGTTTTCTGATGGTCTTAGGTGACCCCGGTGAAAGGGTCATTTGACCCCCAAAGGGGTCTTGACCCACAGTTGAGAACTGCTGGACTAAATGAATGAATGTGGGTTAGCCAAAGAACATATATCCATAACCTACAGACAGACAACAGTGAGGTAACGGCCAGAGGGAAGGGGGGCAGGTACTGGGTAGAGGTGGGCAAAGGGGGGGAGAGATGAGGACATCTGTAACAGTGTCAACAATAAAAATACGTCAAAAAAAGAGTGAAGCTGAGGTATCACCTCACACCTGTCAGAATGGCCGCCATCAACAAATCATTAAACAAGTGCTGGCGAGGGTGTGGAGAAAAGGGGACTCTAGTACACTGCTGGTGGGAATGCAGACTGGTGCAGCCACTATGGAAAACCCTATGGTGTAACCTCAAAAAATTAAAAATTGAACTGCCATTTGACCCAGTGACCCCACTTCTAGGAATATTCCCTAAGAAGCCTGAAACACCAATCAGAAAGAATATATGTACCCCTATGTTCATAGCAGCACTATTTACAATAGCTAGGATCTGGAAACAGCCCAAGTGTCCCTCAGTAGATGAGTAGATAAAAAAGCTGTGGTACATATATACACACTGGAATACTATGCAGCTGTGAGAAAGAAGGATCTCCTCTAGACCGCAGACCGACGCTCCAACTGCTGAGCCAAACCGGCCAGGACAGAAAGAAGGATCTCCTATCCTTTGAGACAACGTGGAGGAACCTGGATAGTATTATTCTAAGCGAAACAAGCCAGGCAGAGAAAGGCAAATATCACATAATCTCACTTTATCTATGGAATATAATGAACAAAACAAACTGATGAACAAAATAGATCCAGAGACACAGAAGTAGGGTACAGACTGACAAATCTCAGAAGAGGGGGTGGGGTGAAGGGAAGAAATAAACCACAGAACTTATAAGCATGTATATGTAACCATGGACATAGACAACAAACCTGGGGACCAGGTGGGGGGGATGGGGAGGAGGGCGTCAATGGGGGAAAAAAGAGAAACATCTGTAACAAAAATAAGTTACTAAAAATAATTTTTTAAAAAAGTGTGAGGCAGTTTTACACAATTACTTATGGCTGCCTAAAAAAAGGCTTTCTCATTTCAAAATATTGTAAATAATTAACAATTATATTAATGCCTATGCTGGCTGTATAGAAACTTGTAGGGCAAGAAAAGTATTACTGCTGAGTCACTTTCTTAGGAAAACCTTACTCCCTCCACATGACTCAAATCATATTGCAATTAGAGATGAATCCCACAAATTAGTTGTCAGATAATGCAAGACACAGTGAGAGAGTAGAAATCATTAATTGACCATGATGCCGTAAAAGAGTATACAAAATCACATTAGATTTGTCACACTTCCATTAGATTATCACTTTTTTTTTTTTTAATCCTTACCCGAGGATATGTTTCCATTTTTTGTTCAGCTAGAGTGGGAAGGAGAGGAAGAGAGAGAGAGAGAGAGAGAAACATCGATGTGAAAGAAACAAATCAATGGCTGCCTCCCGCACAACCCCACCAGGGCCAGGGACGAACTGCAATTGAGGTATGTGCCCTTAGCGAGAACCGAACCCGGGTCTCTCTGGACTGCAGGTTGACGCTCTAACTGCTGAGCCAAACCAACCAGGGCATGGATTATCACATTTTTAATAAGTAACTTACATATTACTTGAACCTAAGACACAAATACAACTGACTGAAAGATAAGTCCCAACTTCAGAAATGTTATAATGTAAAAAAGCATCATAAAATTGATTTTAAAAAAACGATAATTTTATATTACATAGTAAATAGGACTATCACTTTTCTTTTTAAAATTTTATTTTTCAATTATAGTTTACATTCAGTAATATTTTGCATTAGTTTCAGGTGTACAGCATAGTGGTTAATTATATGCTTTACAAAGTGGTCCCCGACTATCACTTCTAATTACTAATTTTCGGGAAATACATTTTAGAAAATAGTTTAGTGTCTAATAAGGAAATATGAATCCACCATAACATTTTCCCCGTTATGGGCTTCCTTTAGCCCATAAATTGAGAAATAACTACAAAAACACTATTATGACAATGCATTCATATTACCGTTGAGTATCATTAATTTTTAAGAATTATTTTATATACTATCAGTCTTTTTTTTAAGGCATAGAAATTACAAGTAAAACTAAAAGCTCCCTTTAATCAATACCCTTAATCCTAATCTCCTGCCAGTGACAACAGTAATTTGGTAGGTATTCTTCTAGTTCATTTTATGGTACATAACATATTTTAATAACAATATAATTCTGTTCTTTATGAATGATTTCATTCCAATTTACAACATGGATCTTGACATGTTTTTCACTCAACATTGTTTTAGATAACAACCCATGTTACAAAATACAGATCTAGTCCATTGCTTTTAACTGCTGTTTACTATTCCACTATTTGAATATGTCATATTTTATTCATCTGTTACCCCATCAAAATTTAGGCTGTTTCAATTCAGGCATCTGTATATTTCTTATGCATATTTTTAGACTGTATATCCAGAAGTAGAACTATAGGGTCCTTTTGCTTTTTAAAAAATGCTTCCCTGACTCAAAGTCATATACAATATCCTGCATTTCCTTCCAAGAATTTCAGAGTTTGGCTTTCCTCATTCCAGTGTTCAAATCCTTTGGAATTGTTTTTTTTATATGTTGCAGGGTTGTATGTAATTTTATTTCCCTCAATATGGAGGGTCAAATACTGCAATAATTTCTATTGACTAGCCATCATTTCCCAATTGATTCATGATGTCTAATATATACTAATTTCACATATATTCATTGGTTTATTCCTAGGCACTCTATTATTTAAAATCTGTTTACTTACCTATTCATGCATTGATACCACACACTATTTAATGACCATAACTTTATGTGTAGTATATGGTAGGAGTTATGTCTTCTGTTCTTTTTAAAAATTGTCTCAGCAATCCATAAATTTCTATTTCACATAAATTTTAGAATAATTTTGTAAAGATCCTAGAAAATTCTTGTTAGATACTTAGAACTATATTAAGTCCATTCATTAATTTTAGGAGAACTGACATTTTTATGATAATGTATTTTTCCATCTATACACATGGCATTTCTCTCTCTTTTATTCAAGTCTTATGTCCTTCAGTAAAGCTTTACAATTCTTCCATAAAGATCTTATTCATTTTTTATGCCAAGATATTTTATGAGTTAAGTAGAGCATAGGTTGAACTTAAGAGGTCTTCCCTCATTTATACTCAGAATTTCTCACCTATGTGACCTCTCTTATGTATAGAGAGGGATGCTCTTTGAGAAAATGCTTTCCCACATTCATTACATTCAAAGGGTTTCTCGCCAGTATGGCTTCTCATATGTATAATAAGTAATGAGCATTGAGAGAAGGCTTTTCCACATTTATTACATTCATACGGTTTCTCCCCTGTATGATTTCTCACATGAAGAGTAAGGGATGAAATGCGAGAGAAGGCTTTATCACATTCATTACATTTAAATGGTTTTTCACCAGTATGAATCTTTTCATGCTCAAGAAGATTCTGTCTCTGACTGAAAGCTTTTCCACACTGATTACAATGATAGGGCTTCTCTCCAGTATGAACTTTCTCATGTTCAGTGAGATTGGACTTCTGACTAAAGGCTTTCCCACATACAGTACATGCATAGGGCTTCTCACCCGTATGAATTCTCTGGTGTCGAATGAGGTTTGACATCTGAATAAACGCCTTCCCACATTCATTACATTCATATGGTTTCTCTCCGGTATGAATTTTCTGATGTGTAACGAGATTTTCTTTCCGACTGAAGGCTTTTCCACATTCATTACATTCATATGGTTTCTCAGCTGTGTGATTTCTCCTATGTACAGTAAGGGAAGAACTTTGAGAGAATTCTTTCCCACATTCACTACATACATAGGGTTTCTCGCCTGTGTGACTTCTCATATGTATAATAAATACTGAGCATTGGGAGAAGGCTTTCCCACATTTGTTGCATTTATAGGGCTTCTCCCCTGTGTGACTTCTCATGTGTAAAGTAACAGATGACATTCGAGAAAAAGCTCTACCACATTCATTACATGCATAAGGTTTCTCCCCAGTATGAATTTTCTCATGCTCAATAAGATTTTGTTTCTGGCTGAAAGATTTCCCACATTCCTTACATTCATAGGGTTTTTCTCCGGTATGAATTCTCCCATGTTCAATGAGATTTGATTTCTGACTGAAGGCTTTCCAGCAATCCTTACATGCATAAGGTTTCTCCCCTGTGTGAATCCTCTGATGTCTAATAAGGTTTGACATCTGAATGAAAGCTTTTCCACATTCATTACACTTATATGGTTTTTCCCCAGTATGAATTTTTTGATGTGTAATAAGATTTTCCTTCCTGCTGAAGGCTTTTCCACATACTTTGCATTCATAGGGTTTTTCTCCAGCATGTATTCTCTCATGTCGGATGAGGTCAAATTTATGACTGAAGTCTTGTCCACACTGATTACACTTAAAGGAGGTTACAACACTGGATGAGCAGTGAGTAGGTTTCCCATAGTTACTACATTCATAATTTTTTTCTCTTATACAGCCTTTCTCATAACTAAGTAAGTCTAAATTATGTTCCAAACCCTTATCAAGTGAGTCACATTCACAGAAGCTTTGTCTTGAAGTAACAATGTCTGAACTCAGAGGATATAGTTTTGTAACTTTTTTACATTCAGTGATGTGTTCCATCATCAGAGTTTTCTCGGAGATGAATGTGACTTTCTTTAAAAGTGTTTCCTGATGCTTCTTGATATGTTCATCAACGTCCCAAATTTCTAAAATGGAGGACCAAAAATTACTACTTTTCAATTTTTCTGCTACTACAGTATCGATAACATTTCAGAAATCTGCATGTGGGGTTGATCTCTGTTTTGGTTCTAGCCTCCCAATATGAAAAAAAAACCCAAAATGCAAATGTCCCTAGTTCATCAGGTTTGAGAAGTTAACTCCTGTGGAAAATATTACGGAAGGAAAACTAACATTTATAAACACAATAGCTTTGATTGAGTTAAAAATATACTTAAAAAATGTAGAAATCAGCCCTGGCCAGTATGGCTCAGTGGTTGGAGTGTCGGCCCACGGACCGGAGAGTCCCGGGTTTGGTTCCCGCTAAGGGCATGTGCCTTGGTTGCAGTTTGTCCCCAGCCCTGGTTGGGGTTATGTGGGTGGCAACCAGTCAATATGTCTCTCTCACATTGATCTTTCTCTCTCTCTCTTCTTCCCTCTCCCCTCCTTCCACTCTATCTGAAGATAAATGCAAAAAAATGTCCTTGGGCAAGGAAAAACAAAAAACAAAAAACAAAACTAAAACATAAAAAAAAATGTAGAAATCAGTAAGATAAATAGAATAGTTAAGATAAAAGGACAAATACATAACTGATGGACAGGAATCCAAACAACTAGAGGATAGAATAAACAATTATTGATTATCAAAGTGGATTAAATATACATTTATTTTCTCCTACTCCCTAAAATTCCATAAGAACAAAAGTAAAAGAATAGAGGATCAGACAGAGGATCCAAGACGGTGACGGAATAGGTGGAAGGTACATTCATCTCCTCCCAGGACCAAACTGAAATTACAACTAAAATATATAAAAATAAACCTGAATAACCAACTAAAAACTAGATGAATGGAAGTCTTGTAGTCAAGGAGTTACAGAAGAACCCACATTAAGACTGGAAGAAAGAGCAGAGATGGAAAAAGAGTTGGCCCCGCTCCCATGGGTGGTGGCTCATATTCCGGAGGGATATCTCGGCAGCAAAGGTTCCCCTGAGGAGTGTGGAGTCTCAACCCCAAGCCAGGCTCCCCAGCCTAGAACCCCAGAGCCAAGAAGAGGTGCCCACTAAACATCTGGCTGTCAAAATCAGCAGGGATTCTGTCTGCCAGGGAGAGGCATTAACTGCTAGACACAGGCACACCCTCAGAGGGCCAATGCACAAACTCTCATTTGTAGCAACTCACCCTGGGCTCCATGAAGAGAGGGAAGAACAGACTAGAGTCAGGAGAGTAGAGACTGGGGTCTGTAACTCTGGGGAAAGAGCTGAAGGGACAGCCGACAAAATCCCTGAGCTGAGTCCTTCTACCACACGCAGAGGCCATCTTTCTTGGTGGAGCACTCCTCCCCTTCCAGCATCAGCCTGGGAGAATGCAACAGCCCCCTCTGGACTCCTTGTTCCCCACCCTGCAGAGCTCATGGCCTGCTGAGGAGTAAGCTGCCTGGGCTGGGGTGCAGAGGTCTGGGCAGACTCAAGGGGTGTCAGTGACTGAGTTGTGTGGCTCTGAGCAGGAGACACTCCCCCCACATTCCCCAAGCCTGATCAGCACCTCCACCTCACGGGGAGATCTCCTAGCCCGACCCTTCCAACTCCCACACCCCACCCTGCTGAGACTGGTGGGCTCTGGTCTGGGGCACCCTGCGGAATCTGGGGCCGACTGAGTTGTGTAGTTCTAGGATGTGGTGCATTTTTCCCTCACATTCCCGACCAGAGCAAAGCCCTCCCTTTACAAGGCCAAATCTTGATCTGTTTGGACCTGATAAACTCTGCTGGCATTACCCTTACAACTCCCCGAGACCCTGCCCCAACACAAAGGTGGCAGCTAGACTTGGTATACCATGAGACATTTGCTGAGTGGCCTCAGACCTAGCACTGGCACCAAGACTGAACATGCATCAGTAAGGTGAACACCACTTGCCCCTACCTGGGGACTCACTGAGAACCTACCTCTTGCAACTTGAGTAGTGCCAGAAGCTCTTTCAGTGACTGAGCCTAACAGGTAGCCAGCAGGCAGAGGCAAGAGAAGGCAGATGGAGGCTGATTTTGGAGTGCCTTGGGACTTTTGCTGTTCTGCCCCAGGACTGGTGCTGATAAAAACCAGCCTTGGCATACAACTTGGTCCTTCCTGTGCACACCCAGGCCCAGCAGAATTAATCACAAACTGTGGATCGTTGTGTAGCTCCAAACAGGTTGCCCAGGGCCAGTCACAGGCAGCATCTGACATTGGACTGCACCAGAGTCTCTCCCAAGAGGTCGCAGATAACACCCACCCACAGGCCAGTTTCAGAAAATATCAGAGCAGAATCCATTTAGCTTCATAAGGAGCATATACAAAGGGAGATCTCAGTAGGCCCCAGGCCCTGATAAGGCAAATTCCACTTTGTCTGGTCTGCACCTGCAGAGCAGTTCCTACACTGTGGTCAGGGTTGATCCCCACAGTCAGCCAGCCTGTGGGTTAACCCAATGCAGAAATGGGCTAATAGCAACCAGACTTGATTAAAACAAAGGGGCCACATAACCTTAGATGTAAATGGGTTAAATGCTCCAATCAAAAAACACAGGGTGTCTGGCCAGTGTGGCTCAGTGGTTTAGTGTTGACTCATGCACTAAGAGGTCGCTGGTTCGAGTCCCGGTCAGGACATATGCCCAGGTGGTGGGCCCAACCCCAGTGAGGGAATGCAGGAGACAGCCAATCGATGTTTTCTCTTATCGATGTTTCTATCTCTCTCTCCTTCTCATTTTCTCTCTCTAAAATCCATAAAGGAAAAAAAAATTGTAAAAACACAGGGTACCTGAATGGATAAGAAAACATGATGTGCCTGGCCGGTGTGGCTCAGTGGTTGAGCATCGACCCATGCACCAAGAGATCGCTGGTTCGATTCGTGGTTAGGGAACATGCCCAGGTTGTGGGCCATGCAGGAAGCAGCCAATTGATATACTCTCTCATTGATGTTTCTATCTCTCTCTCCCTCTCCATTTCTCTCTCTCTAAAAAACCAATAAGGAAAAAAAGAGCCCTGGTCAGTTTTGCTCAGTGGTTAGAGGGTCAGCCCGCAGTCCAGAGAGACCTGGGTTCGGTTCCCAATAAAGGCACGTGCCTCGGTTGCAGTATGTCCCCGGCCTCAGTTAAGGTCGTGTGGGTGGCAACCACTCGATGTGTCTCTCTCACATCGATGTTTCTCTCTCTTTCTTCCTCCATCTCTCCCTCCCTGTCTATCTGAAGATAAATGCAAAAATGTCCTCAGGTGAGAATTTAAAAAAACATGATGCATATATATAGGGTGTCCCCCAAAATGTATACACAACTTTGAATCATTATAAAGCCAAGGTTTATTAAAATACATTTCATTTTCAAAATGTAATAGAATCTACAGACACCCTGCATACATTGTTGGGACATCCTGTGTATGCTGTCTACAAGAGACCCACCTCAGAACAAAAGACTCACACAGGATGAAAGTGAAGGGATGGAAAAAAATATAACAAACAAATGGAAACAAAAACAAAAAGCTGGGGTAACAATACTTAAAAAAGACTCCAAAAAATAGGCCATAACAAGAAAGTAAGAAAGTCACTACATAATACTAAAATGATCAATCCAACAAAAGGATATATGCACCCAATATAGGAGGGCCAAAAAAAAAAAAATATATATATATATATATATACACATATATATATTTAAAAATATATATATATATATATATATATATATTTTAAAAGGTCTTAAGGGACTTAAAGGGAAAGACTGACAGCAATACAGTTATAGTAGGGGACTTTAACACCCCACTGACATCACTGAATAGATCTTCCAGACAAAATATCAACAAAGAAACAGCAGCCCTGGCCGGTTTGGCTCAGCGGTTAGAGCGTCGGCCTGCGGTCCAGAGAGACCCGGGTTCGGTTCCCGCTAAGGGCACATACCTCGGTTGTAGTTTGTCCCTGGCCATAGTTGACCGTGTGGGTGGCAGCCACTCGATGTGTCCCTTCACATCGATGTTTCTCTCTCCTCTCTCTCTGTTCCTCTCCCTCCCTCCCACTCTACCTGAACAAAAAAATGGAAAAATGTCTTCGGGTGAGAATTAAAAAAAAACAAAAAAAACCCAAAGAAACAGCAACATTTAATGACACAAGATCAGATAGATTTAATTGATGTTTGCAGAACATTTCACCTACACGCTGCAAAATATACATTCTTCCCAAGTACACATGAAACATTCTCAAAGACAGACCACATGTTAGCACACAAAAGAAATCTCAATAAATTTAAGAAGACTGAAATCATATCAAGAATCTTTTCTGACCACCGTGGCATAAAACTAGAAATCAACCACAATAAAAAAAATTCAAACACATGAACATTACATAGTATGTTATTAAACAATGAATTGGTTACCAATGAGATCAAGAAAGAAATAAACAATTCCTGGAAACAAATGAAAATTAACACACAAACACCCAAAATCTATGGGACACAGAGAAAGCAGTCCTGAGAGGGAAGTTCACAGCACTACAGGCCTAACTCCAGAAGCAAGAAAAATATCAAATAAACAATCTAAGCCTATACTGAAAATAACTAAAAAAGAAAAGGAACAATAAGAGAATCCCAGAGTAAGCAGAAGAAAAATAACAATAAAGATCAATGTGTAACTAAATGAAATCAAGTCTAAAAAAAAACAATACATAAGATCAATGAAACTAAGGGCTGGTTTTTTGAAAGACAAACACAATTGATGAACTTAAGCCAGATTCACCAAGAAACAAAGAGAAAGGACCCAAATAAACAAAATCAGAAATGAAAGAGGAGAGGTAACAACTGACATCACAGAAATACAAACTATTGTGAGGAAAAAACTAAAAGCATTTACCTTAAGTCAGAAACAAGACATGGATGGCCACTTTCAGTACTCTTATTCAACACAGTACTGGAAGTCCCAGGCACAGAAATCAGAAAAGAAGAAGAAATAAAAGGCACACTAACTGTAAAGGAGAAAGTAAATCTGTCATTATTCACAAATGTCATGATATTATACATAGAACACGCTAAACACTCCACCAAAAAACCACTAGTTTTAACAAATGAATTTGGCAAAGTAGCAGGATACAAAATTAATATCCGGAAATCATTGGCAATTTTTGCACTGATAACAAACTAAGAGCCTGGCCAGTATGGATCAGTGGTTGAGCATCAACCCATGTACCAAGAGGTTGCTGGTTCAATTCCTGGTCAGGGCACATGCCCAGGTTGTGGGCCTAATCCCCAGTGGGAAGCATGCAGGAGGCAGCCAATCAATGTTCTCTCGCCTCGATGTTTCTCTCTCTCTCTCCCTCTCCCTTCCTATCTCTTTAAAATCAATGAAGAAAAAAAAAAAATTTTAAGAAAATAATCCCATTTAATATTGCAACAAAAAATAAAGGCACAGTCCTGGCCAGTTTGGCTCAGCAGTTAGAATATCGGCCCACAGGCCAGAGAGTCCCAGGTTTGTTTCCCGGTAAGGGCATGTACCTCGTTGTTGCAGTTCATCCCTGGCCCCTGTTGACGTCATGTGGGTGGCAACCAGCCGATGTGTCTCTCTATAAGAGATGTTTCTCTCTCTCTCTCTCTTCCTCCTTCTCTCCCTCCCATTCTATCTGAAGATAAGTGCAAAAATGTTCTTGAGTGAGGATAAAAACAAAAAAAATTTTAAAATAAAGGTACCCAGGAATAGACTTAACCAAAGAGGCAAAAAACCTGTACTTGGAAAACTATGCGACACTGGAGAAAGAAAAGAGGAAAATGGAAACAAGTGGAAGCATATACCATGTTCATAGATTGGAAGAATTAACATCATTAAAACGTCCATAATACCCAAAGCAATCTTTAGATTCAACACAATCCCTATTAAAACACCAATGGTAGATCAAGAACAAATATTCCCAAAATGTATATGGAAGTAAAAAAGAACACAAAGAGCCTCAGCAATCTTGAGAAAGAAGTACGAAGATAAAGGAATCACAATACCAGATATTAAATTATACTACAAAGCCACTGTAATCAAAGCAGTCTAGTATTGGCACAAGAACAGGCATATAGATCAATGAAACAGAACAGAGAGACTAGAAATCAACCCACACCTTTATGGTCAATTAATATTTCACAAAGAAGGCAAAAGCATAAATGGAGTAAAAACAGTCTTCAAAAATGGTGTTTGGAAAATTGGAGCGGGACATACAAAAAAAAAAAATGCAACTAGACAACCAACTTACACCATACACAAGAATAAACTCAAAATGGATAAAACACTTAAATGTAAGTGACAAAACCATAAAAATTCTATAAGTAAACATAGGCAGTAAAATCTCAGATATCCCTCAGAGCAATATTTTTGCTAATATGTCTCCAAGGGCAAGGGAAATACAGGAAAAATAAGCAAATGGGACTACATGAAACCAAAAAGCTTCTTCCAAGCAAAAGAAACAATCAACAAAATGAAAAGGGAACTCACTGAATAGGAGAACATATTTGCCATTGATTCATCTGATAAGGAGTTAATCTTCAAAATATATAAAAATCTTATACAACTCAACACCAGCAAGATAAACAATCCAATTAAAAAATGAGCAAAGGATCTGACTAGATACCTCTCCAAAGGGAATATATAGATGGCCACTAAACATATGAAAAAGTGCCCAAGGTCACTAATCATCAGGGAGATGCAAGTTAAAACTACAATCAGGTATCACTTCACACCTGTCAGAATGGCTACTATCAATAAATCAACAAACAACAAGTGCTGGCGAGGATGTGGAGAAAATAGAATCCTAGTGTACTATTCGTGGGAATGCAGACTACTGCAGCCATTGTGTAATACAGTATGGAGTTTCCTCAAAAAATTAAAAATGGAACTGCCTTTTGACTCAGCGATCCCATTTCTTGGTATATATCCTAAGAATCCAGATACACTAAACAGAAAGAATATATGTATCCTTATGTTCATAGCACTTTTATTTACAATAGGCAAGATCTGAAAAGAGCCCAAGTGCCCATCAGTGAATGAGTGGATAAAAAGGCTGTAGTGCCCTGGCCAGTTTGGCTCAGCGGTTAGAGCGTCGGCCTGCGGTCCGGAGAGACCCGGGTTCGGTTCCCGCTAAGGGCACGTACTTCGGTTACAGCTTGTCCCCGGCCCTGGTTGGTCGTGCGGGTGGCAGCCACTCGATGTGTCCCTTTCACATCGATGTTTCTCTCTCTCTCTCCCTTCCTCACTCTCCCTCCCACTCTATCTGTACAAAAAATGGAGAAATATCCTCGGGTGAGGATTAAAAAAAAAAAAAAAAAAAAAGGCTGTAGTACATTTACACAGTGAAATAGTATGCAGCTATAAAAAAGGAATTAACTCTTACCCTTTGGAGCAGCACATATGAACCTGGAAATTATTATGCTAAGTGAAATAAGCCAGTTACAGAAAGACAAATACCATATGATCTCATTAACATGTAGAATCTAATGAGAAAAAAAAACCTGAAGAACAAAATAGAACCACAGGCATGGATACATGGAAAAGACTGACGAATGTGAGAGGAGAGGGTGGTAGTGGGGAATGGATAAGGGAAGGTGAAGGGATTAGCTAAAGAACATATACGTACAGCCCATGGACACAGACAATAGTGTGGTATAGGCCAAGGGTTGGGGTTTGGTGGAGGTGGGCAAGGGGGAGTTATGGGGGACATCTGCAATAGTTTCAACAAAAAATTTAAAGAAAAAAAAAAGAAAGGTACTAAAACTATAAAGGGAAAACTTGGAAAGTGTTTCTGAAAGACACAAAAAGTAGATAAAACGACAACGCATATTAGACATTATAAAGATGTCCAACCTCGCCCTGGCCGGTTTGGCTCAGTGGTTAGAGCATCAGCCTGCGGTCCAGAGAAACCCGGGTTCAGTTCCCACTAAGCGCGCATACCTTGGTTGCAGTTTGTCCCTGGCCCTGGTTGTTGTGAGGGTGGCAGCCACTCGATGTGTCCATTTCACGTCGATGTTTCTCTCTCTCTCTCTCTCCCTCCCTCCCACTCTATCTGAACAAAAAATGGAAAAATGTCCTCGGGTGAGGATAAAAAAAAAAAGGTGTCCAACCTCAACATTATAAAGATGTCAAAGCTCTGAAAGCTAATTTATATATCTAACTCATTCCCAATAAAAAGTCCAACAATTTTTTCTCTGGAAATAGAGTTGAATCTAAAATTCATATGGTAGCCCTGGCCGGTTTGGCTCAGCGGTTAGAGCATTGGCCTGCGGTCCAGAGAGACCTGGGTTCGGTTCCCGCTAAGGGCATGTACCTCGGTTGCAGTTTGTCCCCGGCCCTGGTTGGTGGTGCGGGTGGCAGCCACTCGATGTGTCCCTTTCACATCGATGTTTCTCTCTCTCTCTCTCTTCCTCCTGCTCTATCTGAACAAAGAATGAAAAAGTGTCCTCGGGTGAGGATAAAAAAAAAAGAAATTAAAATTCATATGGTAAAATAACAATCAAGAATAGCCAGCATAACCCTGAAAAAGAAGTGCATACAACAGGCAAATAAAGAGACTGAACGTCAAGGATAAGAGGGAGACCAACTTCTCAATGTATCTTTTGGACCATTTATATTTAAACAAGTATACGTATATTATATTTTCAAAAATTAAAGAAATGGACGGTGGGAATAGGCAGGAAGGAGTCACCAATTTCTAAGCCAGAAGCTACATGGGACTGTGAAAGTTGTAATGTACGATGGGAAGTGGGAGTGCTGTTATAATACACATGTCTGAGACTTTTCAAAAAAGAAAGAAAAGGAATCAAAGTGTGAAACAAACATTTTGTTGTTGTTGTTGTTCAGGTAGAGTGGGAGGGAGAGAGAGGAAGAGAGAGAAACATGGACGTGAAAGGGATACACCGAATGGGGACAAACTGCAACCGAGGCACGCGCCCTCAACAGGAACCGAACCCGGGTCTCCCTGGACTGCAGGCCGACACTCCAACCACTGAGCCAAACCGGCCAGGGTCAAACACGTTTTTAAAATAGCTATACATCCATAAAATACTGAACGCACAAGAAAATGAATACAATAGAGAGAGAGAGTTTAAGGATCATAGAGCAGAACAATAATCCTAAAAGTAAGGATGTAAATAAATTAGGGAAGATGGGCATCATAAAATCAGATGGGGCTACAGGCCCTCTAAATTTAAAAAAGGAAGATGGCTTCAATATAGGTAGAAAATGGCATCTGGAAATATCACAGATATCCATTCCATTCATACCACGTGTCACTCTAGTAGACTATAGCCTTTAAAGAAAAGCTTGGAAAATGTGAAATGATGTCAACCCCCTGAACAACTGCTATGTGGCTTTCTCATTTAGAGCTGCCTTCTCACATATTCACCTGGACAATGCCTCCCACACATTTCTTTCTCCATCACCCATGGCTCCTCTTCCTGTTCCAACCTGAAGATCACATCTGGTTTGGTGACTTGATAACCTATTAGGGGAAACAGCAAAGGATTTAGATGTTAATGCTGGAGAGAACCTGAATCCTGGGGTCTTGAGGAACTTCCACAGTGAGACAAGGTAATTCGCCCTGAAGACAAGTACCTACAATCATGTGAAGAAAGGGAAGGCTAGATTTGTCTGCCAAGATAAAGTCATCACACATTTTTAAAAATGGGAAGGAATTCCATGTAAAATTGCAAAGCTACCCTTACCCACTGTGACTAGGTTGCTATAGTTCTCCAGCATCACATCCCGGTACAAGTTCCTCTGCGCAGGTTTCATTTGCTGCCATTCCTCCTCAGTAAGGTCCACAGCCACATCCTTAAATGTCACTGTTTCCTGTAAAAGCACAACCCTAGTTAATATAAAGTCATCAAAATTAAACACAGTGGTCAAACATGTAAGAATCCATTTAGCTAGTATTCAGGAATTCAAATTCATTAAAAAGTGTATATTAAGCTTGGAAGAGGGGATGGTGGGGGGAGGGAGAAGATAAACCACAGAACTTATATGCATGTATGCATAAACCAGTGGACGTGGACAACAAAGCCGGGGATGGGGAGAGGGGGATGGGGAGGAGGGTGTCAATGGGGTAAAAAAGGAGAAACATCTGTAACAAAATTAAAATAAATTTTTTTTAAAAAGTGTATATTACGTCTTCATCTTTACCTAATCTTTATTAAACGCTGGGAGAAAACAAACCATGGTAGAAATATACAGTAAGATTATATTTATTATTTAGTCAGTAAACTTATGAATTCATCAGTTATTATGCATTAAACTGGAGACAGTAGTCATTAATTTGTAGTGGTCTATGACTGAGATGGAAGAATTAGACATGACTCACGTAATTGGCTCAGAACCTGTCCAAGTGATCATGTGATCCAGTGAGAAAGGAAACATAAAGAAAGTGTGGGAGGGAAAAGAAATAAGGGAGAAAAAAAGAGAAGTTTGAAAATTTGAATGTGCAAATTTGAAATTTCTATAGGACTTACAAATGGAAAGGCCCACAATGCAATTAGAGATATGAAGAAAGAAGATGAGAATTTGTTAGCCACCATCCTAAATCTGGGAGCTGAATCCATGGCTGTGTGGTTGTAGAGAACATACATAGTGGGTAAAGGGTCAAGGACAGAATCAACAGCTAAGCATCAAAGAAAGAGACTCGGGTTTTTGTTTCTTGTTTGTTTTATTTACAATTATAGCATTAGAATTAGTATCATGAGAGTGGTGTAACAAGCCAAGAAACAAATGACAATTTTTTTTTAAACCTCACCTGAGGACATTTTTGCATTCATCTTCAGATACAGCAGGAGGGAGAACAAGAGGGAAAAAGGGAGGGAGGGAGGAACAGAGAGAGAGAAAAACATCGATGTGAAAGAGACACATCAACTGGTTGCCACCCACACAACTCCAACCGGGATCAGAGACAAACTGCAACGAAAGTACGTGCCCTTAGCGGGAACCGAACCCCGGGCTCTCTGGTCCGCGGGTCAACGCTCTAACCACTGAGCCAAACTTGCCAGGGCCAAATGACAAATTTTTAAAAAACAATGTTATTTGACCATATACTCTTCCTCCCCACTTAAAAACGTCAATATCCGCCCTGGCCGGTTTGGCTCAGCGGTTAGAGCGTCGGCCTGCGGTCCCGAGAGACCCGGGTTCGGTTCCCGCTAAGGGCATGTACCTCGGTTGCAGTTTGTCCCCGGCTCTGGTCAGTCGTGCGGGTGGCAGCCACTCGATGTGTCCCTTCACGTTGATGTTTCTCTCTCTCTCTGTTCCTCTCTCCCCCTCCTACTCTACCTGAACAAAAAAAAATGGAAAAATGTCCTCGGGTGAGGATAAAAAAAAACAAACAAAAAAAAGTCAATATCCAAATAAAGAAATAAGTGCCCGACCAGTGTGGCTCAGTGGTTAAGCGTCGACCCATGCACCAAGAGGTTACTAGTTTGATTCCCGGTCAGGGCACATGCCCAGGTTGTAGGCCAAAATCCCCAGTGGGGAGCATGCAGGAGGCCGCCAATCGATGTTCTCTCATCAATGTTTCTATTTCTCTCCCTCTCCCTTCCTCTCTCTCTAAAATCAATAAAAGAAAGAAAATACATACATAAATAAATAAATAAATAAATAAATAAATAAATAAATAAATGAACTCCACAACAAAACAATCCGATTAAAAACGAGCTGAGGAACTGAACAGACAGACACTGCTCCCAAGAAGACATACAAATAGCCCACAGATATATGAAAAGATGCTCAACTTCACTAGTTATTAGGGAAATGCAAATCAAAACTACATGTATGAGGTAGTTAGAATGGCTATTATCAGCAAGACAAGTAATAACAACTGTTAGGTTGTGGAGAAGGGAGCCCCCATTCACTACTGGTGAGAATGTAAACTGGTACTACCAGTATGAAAAACAGTATAGAAGTTCCTCAAAAAATTAAGCATAGAGTTAGCATATGACCCAACAACCCCTCTTCTGGGTATCTACCTGAAAAAATTTGAAAACATTTATTCACAAAGATATAGATGCACCACTTTGTTCATGGCAGCGTTATTCATGGTGGCCAAGACATGAAAACAACCAGTATCCTTTGATAGATGACTGGATAAAGAAGATGTGGAACATATACACAATGGAATGAACAACAACAACAACAAAAGATGTGGAGAACTGTGGATACCAGAATGACAAGATTTTTTTTTTCCTTTATTGATTTTAGCGAGAGAGGAAGTAAGAAGGAAAGAGAGATAGAAACATCGATGAGAGAGAACATTGACTGGCCACCTCCTGCATGCTCCCCACTGGGAATTGAGACCACAACCTGAGCATGTGCCCTGACTGGGAATCAAACCAGTAACCTTTTGGTGCATGGGTCAACGCTCAACCACTGAGCCACACTGGCTGGACCAGAATAACAAGATTTTGCCATAGAATGTTAGTATGTATTTTAGCTTAAGTTATAAAAAATCTCCACTGAAGAAAATATATATGTAGGATAATTTGAAAGATGTGTTCTATTTATTGTTCCAAACATTGTTAGATTTTAATCTTTGACCAAGGAGACATTTAAAAAAAACTGACATTGAGCCCAGCCAGTGTGGCTCAGTGATTGAGTGTCGACCCATGCACCAAGAGGTTGCTGGTTCAATTCCTGGGCACGGTACATGCCCAGGTTGTGGGCCAAATCCCCAGAGGGGGCCTGCAGGAGGCGGCCAATCGACGTTCTCTCTCATCGATGTTTCTATCTTTCTCCCTCTCCCTTCCTCTCTCTCTAAAATTAATAAATAAAAATAAATAAAAATAAAAAAACTGACCTTGAAATTGGAAGAATTATGGAATTATTTTGGATTTTTTTTTTTTACTTAAGTAGCAATGAAAAGCTTTTTCCTTAACTTTGAGTTTTTCCTCATAAACAGTACAAATGATAAAACAGACTTTGTGTCCCAGTTTGCTTTTGTTTCTCCAGATTATTTTCAAATTTGAACTCAACTTTGCCAACTGTATAAACCTGTTTCTGATATCTACCTGTTATTTTCCTTACTTTGATTTTCAACAATTTAGTTTTTCCCAAATTACTGGTAGGTTAAGGTATTGCACTGCAAAATAATACAGGAAAGAAATAAATACTTAAAACTTACAAGAGACTTAGTCATATCCTCTTCTTCCTCAAAAAGGACTGAGTCCTCAGAATGCCAAGCTGAGGGAAGAGAAATAAAACAGATTTACTTCAGAACTCCAGAAAAAGGAGTATAGAAATCTTCAGCACCAGCTGGCTATGAGACTAGAGTACTGAGAAGTGTTAATCACCACCAGACTATAGAGACACAGAAATGTACATCTGACTAAAAATGACTAATTTAATTATGTAGGGTCCGATGGGAATTTCAAGAGGGCTAGGTTTAGGGTGCCCAATGAATCCATTGACGATATAGTATTTCCCTAAAATCCTGCTATTTTATTCCTAATAGGATCTATCTTACATATATAACAACAAAGATTTAAGGATTAAATCATTTATGAAGCACTGTAAAGAATTGGAAGAAAAACTTTGATTAGAGACAAGTTATAGGCATTGTGGAACATTCAAATACTGAAATGGAATTCAGTCATTCTAATGATGTTTTGTTGTTGTTAATCCTCACCTGAGAATATTTTTCCATTGATTTTCAGATAGAGTGGAAGGGAGGGAGGGAGTAAGAGTGAGAGAGACACAGAGACAGAGAAAAACATCAATGTGAGACAGACACACTGATCAGTTGCCTCCTGCTCTACCCCAACTGCGGCTGGGGATTGAACCTGCAACCCAGATACATGCTTTTGACCAGGAATCAAACCGGGGACCCTTCGTCCTGCAGGCCAACACTCTAACCACTGAGCCAAACTGGTCAGGGCTCTAATGGCATTTTAAAGTAATGTAATTGAGCCCAGCCCGTATGGCTCAGTAGTTGAGCATTGACCCGTGCACCAAGAGGTCACTGGTTTGATTCTGAGTCGGGGCACATGCCCAGGTTGTGAGCCAGGTCTCCAGTGGGGGGCATGCAGGAGGTGGCCAATCAACGTACTCTCTCATTGATGTTTCTCTCTCTTCTTCTCACTTCCTCTCTCTCTAAAATCAATAAAGGAAAAAAAAACTTTTTTTAAATAATAAAAAAAATAAAAGCCCATGTACAGCCTGGCAGGTGTGGCTCAGTGGATTGAGCTTTGTCCCATAGACTGAGAGGTCCCAATTCGATTCCCAGTCAGGGAGCATGCCCAGGTTGCAGGCTCGATCCCCAGTAGGGGGCGTGCAGGAGGTAGCAATGGATGTTTCTCTTTCACATCAATGTTTCTATTTCTCTAACAAATCAGCAAAAAGAGCCCTGGAGGGTTTGGCTCAGTGGTTAGAGCGTTGGCCTGCGGTCCAGAGAGACCTGGGTTTGGTTCCTGCTAAGGGCATGTACCTCAGCTGTAGTTTATCCCTGGCCCTGGTTGGGTCATGCGGGTAGGAGCTACTCGATGTGTCCCTTTCATGTCAATGTTTCTCTCTCTCTCTCTCCCACTCTATCTAAATAAAAAATGGAAAAATGTCCTCAGGTGAGGATAAAAATAAATATAAAAAAAAAATCAACAAAAACATATTTATAAAAATAAATTAAATTAAAGGAACACTGTCCAGTGTGGATCAGAGTTTTGAGCACTGGCTCACACACCAAAGGGTCGTAGGTTCAATTCTCAGTCGAGGGCACATATCTGGGTTTCAGTTTCAAACCCTGGCCCTGGTGGGGAGGTTGGGGGAGACAACCAATCAATGTGTTTCTCTCACATGGATGTTTCTCTCTCTCTCTCTTTCTTTTTCCCCTCCCCTCCCTACCTTCCACTCTCTCTAAAAGTCAATGGAAAAAATATCCTCGGGTGAGGATTAACAAGAAAAATTTTAATTAATTAGTTTAATTTAATTAAAGGAGAAATATAAAGCTTCCCAGACAAGAAAAAGCTAAAGAAATTCGTTACCTCCAAGAAATGTTAAAAGATCTAATTTAAAAAGAAAAAAATAGCCTGGCAGGTGATTGAGTGTCAGTCCCATGGACTGAGAGGTCCCAGCTGGATTCCCAGTCACAGCACTTGCCCAGGTTGCAGGCTTGATTCCCTGTAGGGGGCGTGCAGGAGACAGCCAATTGATGTCTCTCCCACATTGATGTTTCTCTCTCTCTCTTCCTTCCCTTCTCTCTATAAAATCAATAAAAACATATATATATTTTTAAAATACTCACCCGAGGACATTTTTGCATTCATCTTCAGATACAGCGAGAGGGAGAGAGGGAGGAAGAGAGAGAGAGAAAATGGATGTGTCACACATCAATTGGCTGCCACCCATACAACCCCACCCAGGGCTGGGGACAAACTGCAACCAAAGTACGTGCCCTTAGTGGGAACAGAACCCGGGCAAACGCCCTAACCACTGAGCAAAACTGGCCAGGACTAAAAACATATTTTTTTTTTTTTTTTCTTTATTGATTTTTTGTTTGTTTGTTTGTTCAGGTAGAGTGGGAGGGAGAGAGAGGAACAGAGAGAGAGAGAGAAACATCGATGTGAAAGGAACACATCGAATGGCTGCCACCCGCACAACCGACCAGGGCCGGGGACAAACTGCAACCAAGGTACGCGCCCTTAGCGGGAACCGAACCTGGGTCTCTCAGGACCGCAGGCCGACGCTCTAACCGCTGAGCCAAACCGGCCAGGGCTAAAAACATATTTTTTAAAAAGAAAAAAATTTTTAATAATAAGCCCTGGCCAGTGGGGCTCAATGGTTAGAGTGTTGGTCCATACACCAAAAGGTCAGGGTTCGATTCCTGGTCAAGGGCACATATATGGGTTGCAGGTTCAATCCCAGGGCCTGCTCAGAGCAAATGCAGGAGGTAACCAATCAATGTGTGTCTCTCTCACATTGTTTCTCTCTCTCTCTCTCCTCCTCTTCCCTCTCTCCCCCTCCCTCCCTCCCTTTTACTGTCTCTAAAAACCAATGGAAAAAAATATCCTTGGGTGAAAATTAAAAAAATAATAATAAAATAAAGTAAGAGCCCTGGCCGGTTTGGCTCAGCGGTTAGAGCGTTGGCCTGCGGTCTGGAGAGACCCGGGTTCGGTTCCCGCTAAGGGCACGTACTTCGGTTGCAGTTTGTCCCCGGCCCTGGTCGGTCGTGTGGGTGGCAGCCACTCGATGTGTCCCTTTCACGTCGATGTTTCTCTCTCTCTCTCTCTCCCTCCCACTCTATCTGTACAAAAATTGCAAAAATGTCCTTGGGTGAGGATAAAAAAATAAAAAATAAGAACATTAAAAAAGAGAATAAAATAGCAGTGGGGTTTTTGTTTTGTAAGACCATGAGATCTGTTCGCTTAACACATATTACAGTGCATAATCTTGTCCTGTTAATACAGTAACTGTGTTGTACAGATCTCTAGAACTTATTCATCTTGCATAACAGAAACTTTGCACCCACTGAAAAACAATTCCCTGTATCACTCTTCCCCCAACCTCTGGCAACCAGCATTCTACTCTCTGCCTTTTTGAGTCTATTTTACAAATCTCATATAAATGGAATCATGTAGTTTTTGTCCTGTGATTGGCTTACTTCACTTAGCATACTATCCTCAAGGTTCATCCATATTGTCACAAAAGGCATGATTTTCTTCTGTCTTAAAAAGGCTGAAAAATAATCCATTTTATGTTCATAACACATTTTCTTTACTTATTTATCTGTTGATAGATATGTTCCCATATCTTGGCTATTATGAATAATGCTGCAATGAACAGATATTAAAATGGTAAATTTTATGTTATGTGTTTGTTATATATATACTATTACTACTAACTTGAGGTTTTTAAAATTAGAAGAAATATATCAGACAATATAGAAATGGGTGAGTTGTCTGTAGTGAAAGTGTTCTAAAGTCTTGTGTAGGTTTGAGTTTTTTTAAGCATACATGTTAAAAAGTCAAGGATAAGAAAAGAAACCAAAGCAATGGGAAAGGAAAAAGAGATAAAGTTAACCTGCACAAGAAAAACGGCATAATAAATAAAAACAAAACAAATTTATGTCAGCAATTGCAATAAATGTTAAGTGAATTAAAATCACCTATTAGCCCTGGCAGGTTTGGCTCAGTGGTTAGAGCGTTGGCCCGCAGACCAGAGAGACCCGGGTTTAGTTCCCGCTAAGGGCACGTACCTTGGTTGCAATTTATCCCCGGTCCCGGTTGGGGTTGTATGGGTGGCAACCAGTCTATGTGTCTCTCTCACATCAATGTTTCTCTCTCTCTCTCCCCCCCTTCCTCCCTCCCTCCCACTCTATCTGAACAAAATATCAAAAAATGTCCTCGGGTGAGGATAAAAAATAAATAACAGTCAAATGGGTAAAAGGGAAAAGTTCAGCAATATGTTCTTTACAGGAAACATACCAGAAGCATACACACATAAAGGGAAGGAGTTGGAAATGACATTCCTAAAAAACACAATAACAGAACCTGAAAAGCAGTATTATAAGACAAAGAACTTCAATTAAAAGGAATTCACCAGCCCTAGCTGATTTGGCTCAGTGGTTAGAGTGTCGGCCTGCGGTCCAGAGAGACCCAGGTTCGGTTCCCACTAGGAGTATGTACCTTGGTTGCAGTTTGTCCCTGGCCCTGGTAGGGTCGTGCGGGTGGCAGCCACTTGATGTGTCCCTTTCACGTTGATGTTTCTCTCTCTCTTCCTCCCACTCTATCTGAACAAAAATGAAAAAATGTCCTCGAGAGAGATTAAAAAAAAAAAGGCATTCACCAGCATAAAGAGGCGTGTTTCTTAATGTGGGATCTTGGTCCCAATTGTTTTCTCTCTCTCTCTCTCTCTCTCTCTCTCTCTCTCACACACACACACACACGCACCAATAGGATTATACATTCACACTCTTTGCCATGTAACTGTCTTGCCTTCTCACTGTGGTTGGAAGCAGAGGTTTTCAGGGCGTTTTTGTATACTGTCTTGTGCTCTGGTGTTCCAAGAAGAGAAAAACGTCCTAGTAATCACTTGAGCTGAAGATTAGAACACATGTGGAGTAGATCAGAATTCATCCTGCAGCCCAGCCATTCTGCCAAGCCCAATCTAGATAAGCTGAATACAGAGTGAGCATGAGGATAAATGTTTGCTGTTGTACGCCACTGAGTCTAGAAGCGGTTTGCCAGGCAGCATTATTATCATGGCAATTAAGTAACCAATACATCTAATAAAAGTCATATGATGATGAGATAATGAATCTGCAAAAGTTCACCTAGGAAAACTGGAAAGCAACAGAACAGTTCCAAAAACTTCCGGGGCGGGGGCCAGTAGAAAGTAGACTAAGTAGAAAGTAGACTAAGGAGTGGCCAATGGGGAAGCAACCACTTGAAACCAAAAACTACAGAAAATTGTTTTCAAGAGTTATCAAGTATAACAAAGCCTACAAAGACTTCAACACAAGTTAAGAGAAGACCCACTGCATATCACAAACACCTCACCACAGACCTTTCATGACAATCACTCAGACAACACCGCTCAAGTCATCACAATCACACACAGCTACTAACGTGACCATGACACACACACAATTACTACCACACTCCACACACCATCATTCTCACACACATCATCATAATCACACACACACTAACTCCTGCCCGTTTCTTCGTCCAACAACTCCAACCATACTCCAGGAGCGTCCTCTCAAGCCGAGCACTGCACTGCCCTTACTCTGGACACTCGGGGCTTCCTTAGCGGCTTCGTCCCGTGAGCAGCTGCGACGGTACAGCCCAGCCCCCCTCCACGCCCTGCTACAGGAACGCAGCAGCGTCACCTGCGGTAAACGCCTGAATGCACATCCAGCGGGCCGTTTCTAGGTGACGGCGACCGGAAGAAAGGCCCGGGCCAGGCGCCCGGAACGTAGAAGCATCCTCCGCCCTTGCTTCCCCGCGGAGGGACCGCGGCACAGCACCTCCCACAAGGCCTCGCGCCCTCTTCAATTCCGGCTAGGAGGCTTCTTGCATTTCCCGCGAGAGTGTGAGGCCGCCGGCTCCCGAGGCCCGGCCCACTGGCCCCCTGCTGCTTCAAGTCGCGTTTCTGAGACCCAACCAGACGCTGAGTCGTAGGAGCAGTTGTTTCGGGTAGGCTCAGGCAGGGCGCCAAGGGAAACTGGCCGTGGGTCCCCCGCTGGACTACATTTCCCAGAGGGCCTGGCGGCCCGTCGCTCTTTTCTAACGAGCTCGAACGGCCTTCATGCCTGGTGGGACCGTCAGAACAGCGAGGTGGGGAGCGCGTGGGCCTCCGGGGGACCGGCTCAGCTGTGCAGGTTGCAGCCCCACGAGAACCGAAAGGCCTAAGTCGAGGCCCGAGGCCCTTGCAGAGCCGAGTCTTCCGGCGGAGCGGCCTGAATTGGGGAGGTTGTGGGACTGTGTGAAAGATGGTGACACTGAGCCCTGTGTGCGAATATGGGGTGCTTATCATTGCGGGCTTGTTGCTGTGTGTTGTGGACCATTTGTTCTGTGGTGTGTGACTCTGACCTTGCGACATTTAGCGTACCTGCCCTACTTTTGGGAGAATGATCACCTGTACCTGCACTGGCTCCTGCGGGGGACCTGGAGCTGGCGCATTACCCAGCACCCACTCTGGGGTTTTTGTTTTACGTGTTACATGTTTTCATTTATTTCAGGTTGTAAATTACATATAATAACATTTGTTTTTGTTTTAAATTGGACGTCATAAGTATTGTGTATATTCATGAGGCCGAGAAAACATCACCATAAGTGTTTGCAGAATATTTTATCTTCCCAAATGGAAATCCTTTACCGGAAGCAATCACTCCCCCATTCCTCCCTTCCCCAGCCCTTGGCAACCTGTAGTCTGCTGTCTGTGTTCCTTTCTCTATTCTGGATGTTTTATATAAGAGGAATTTTACCACAGTTGCCTTTTTTTGTGGCTGCTCACATATTTCAAGAAGGGGCTCATTAATTTGTTTTGTTTTGTTTTTTATTTATTTAAACTAGCATTTTTGTTATTTGAAAGGAAAATCCTGGATGAATTGACAATTAGATACAAAGAAAGAAGCCCTTCTAGTTAGTATGTGCACAGTCTGAGGGTAAAGACCACTGTGATGTGTGACCCCAGAGCCAGGAGCCAGCCAGTCAGCAAATGACTGGCTAGTACTGTGCTCAAAACAAAAACAAGAAAAATGGAGAAAGATAGAAAGACAAACCACAACTGGAATGCATTCCTTACAACCCAAGGCCAGGGAAAGGTTTAATATCCCTATGATGCAGAAAACTCTCCAAAGTCAGTGTTTTAAAAAGAGACAACAAGCAAGCATATGCACTTCCAGTGAGAAGCAGTGCACACACCAGTATGTCTCAGAGGTGCCTGACCTCTCTGACGGGAACACACACACTGTAAACACTGTGAAGAGAGTATTGTCGCCATCAGACTGGCATGTTTCTAGACAAGTGGGTGGCCAGTTCTGGGAACAAAGTGAAAATGCAGAGGCCCCAGTAGATATCCTGGAGAGAATTGAGAAAGGCCTCTTCTCTGGGAGAACAGTGTGCAGGAGCTGTCAAAATTCCACCGGTGCTCACCTTCGCTTGGCCGTGCTCATCCTAGGAGGTTACCACACAGAAATTCTTGTACAATATTTCAAAGATGTATGTTTGAGATTTATCCATCAGAGCACCAGTGAAAAATAGCCAGGAATTGGGGGCAAAAAAAACACCTTAATGTCCATGGAGAGGAGTTGGCTCTATCAATCCTGGTCCACATGGAAGAATGAAGCTGCGCACTGCTAAAGTGGGTGCAGGAATCTCAACATGCCAACAGATGAAGACTTCAGGGGTCCTCTTAAGTATGACATCTGGACCATTCATCTACATTCAGAAACCACCATTTTTTTTTTATCCTCACCCCAGGACTTTTTTTCATTTTTTTGTTCAGATAGAGTGGGAAGGGGAGAGAGGATGAGAGAGAGAAACATCAACGTGAAAGTGACACATCAAGTGGTTGCCACCTGCACGACCCAATCAGGACCTGGGACAAACTGCAACCGAGGTACATGCCCTTAGCGGGAACCGAACCCGGGTCTCTCTGGACCACAGGCTGACGCTCTAACCGCTGAGCCAAACTGGCCAGGGCCAAAAACCCACCTTTTATACCATATACATATGATTTCAACAAGTAGACAAACATGTGTAAATGAGTGTATTTGACAGAGACAGAGAGAATAAGAGGTGGAGACTGGAGATACACCCGAAACTACTCATGGTGCCACCTCTGGGGATGGTACTAGCCAAATCTCTTTTAGGTGACGGTGATATTTTTATAAGGTGCAGGTTATACTACAAAGCCATTATAATCAAAATAGCCTGGTACTGGCACAAGAACAGGCATATAGATCAATGGAATAGAAAAGAGAACCCAGAAATCAACCTAAGACATTATGTTCAATATTTGACATAGGAGAGAAGAGCATACAATGGAGTAAAGACAGTCCCGTCAATAAATGGTGTTGGGCCCTGGCCAGTTTGGCTCAGCAGTTAGAGCATTGGCCTGCGGTCCGGAGAGACCCGGGTTCGGTTCCCGCTAAGGGCATGTACCTCGGTTGCAGTTTGTCCCCGGCCCTGGTTGGTTGTGCGGGTGGCAGCCACTCGATGTGTCCCTTTCACATCGATATTTCTCTCTCTCTCTCTCTCCCTCCCACTCTATCTGTACAAAAAATGGAAAAATGTCCTCGGGTGAGGATTAAAAAATAAATAAATAAAATAAAAATAAATGGTGTTGGGAAAACTGGACAGGTACATGCAAAATTTGAAATTAGACCACCAATTTAACACCATACACAAGAATAAACTCAAAATGGATAAAAGACTTAAATGTAAGTCATGTAACCATAAAAATCCTATAAGAAAATGTAGGCAGCCCTGGCCGGTTTGGCTCAGCGGTTAGAGCATCAGCCTGAGGTCCAGAGAGACCCGGGTTTGGTTCCCGCTAAGGGCGTGTACCTCAGTTGCAGTTTGTCCCCAGCCCTGGTTGGTTGTGCGTGTGGCAGCCACTCAATGTGTCCCTTTCACGTCAATGTTTCTCTCTCTTCCTCTCTCTCTCTCCCACGCTATGTGAACAAAAAATGGAAAAATGTCCTCGGGTGAGGATAAAAAAGAAAAAATGTAGGCAGCAAAATCTCAGACATTACACGAAGCAGAATTTTCACTGATACATCACCTAGGGCAAGAGAAAGGATAAAATTAATAAATGGGACTTCATCAAACTAAAAAGCTTCTGCCCAGCAAAATAAACCACCATCAAAATGAAAAGGGAACCCACTATATGGGAAAATATTTATCTACAACACATCAGACAAGGGATTTAATTTTCAAATATATAAAGTACTCATACAACTCAACAAAAGGAAGACAATTCAGTTAAAAAATGGGCAGAGCCCTGGCTGGTTTGGCTCGGCAGTTACAGCATCGGCCTGCAGACCAAAGAGTCACAGGTTTGATTACCAAAGTCACATACCTGGGTGGCAGATTTGATTCCCAGCCCCTGTTGGTGCCCTGCAGGAGGCAACCAGTCTATGTGTCTCTCTCACATTGAGTTTCTCTCCCCCTTTCTCCCTTCCTGCCTCCTACTCTATCTAAAAGTCAATGGAAGAAAAAGAAATATCCTTAGGTAAGGATGAAAAAGGAAGGGGGGAAGGCCCTGACCAGTTTGACACAGCAGTTAGAGTGTCAGCCTGCGGACCAGAGTTTGGTTCCCGCTAAGGGCAAGTACCTACCTCAGTTGCAGTTTGTCTCTGGCCCCGGTTAGGGTTGTATAGGTGGCAACCAGTCGATGTGTCTCTCACGTCGATGTTTCTCTCTCCCTCCCTCTCTCCCTCCCACTCTATTTGAAAATAAATACAAAAAACGTCCTCAGGTGAGGATAAAAAAAAGGGCAGAGGACCTGAACGGACACATCTTCAAAAAGGACAAATGGCCAAGAAACATGAAAAAATGCTCAATGTCACTAATCACCAGTTTTTAAATTAAAACAACTATGAAGTATCAATCACCTCACACCTGCCAGAATGGCTACTATCAACAAATCATCAAACAAGTATTGTTGAGGATGTGGAGAAAAGGGAACCCTAGTACAATGCTGGTGGGAATACAGTGACTGGTGCAGCCACTATGGAAAACAATATAGTGTTTCATTAAAAATTGAAATGCCATTTGACCCAGTGATCCCACTTCTAGAAATATATCCTAAGATGCCTGAAACACCAATCAGAAAAAAATACCACCTATGTTCATAGCGGTGCTATTTACAATAGCTAAAATCTGGGAACAGCCCAAGTGTCCATCAGTAGATGAGTGGATAAAAACGGTGTGGTACATTTACACAATGGAATACCATGCAGCTATAAGAAAGATCTCTACCCAAGTGAAACAAGCCAGTCATAGAAACACAAGTATCACATGGTCTCACTTATTTGTGGAATATAATGAACAAAATAAGCTGACGAACAAAACAGATCGAGAGACATGGAGGTAGAGAACAGACTGACAAACCTCAGAGGAAAGGGGATTTGGGGAGAAGGAAGAAATAAACCAAAGAACTTATATGCAATTATGCATAAACAAAGGACACAGACAACAGTGCAGTGAAGGTGGGGGCAGGTAGGAGCAGGCAGGAGGGTGTCAGTGTGTGTGGGGGATAGTTGTAATACTTTCAATAATATAGATTTAAATTTCTTTAAATTCTTGCAGCACACCAAGTGTGCCTCTTGCAGAACACAGGTTGAAAATCGCTGCTTTAATCCAGTAACTCCCAAGTTTGTTTCTCAACATTTTAGATCTTTTAACTCCACAAAATAGACATTGTCATTGTTTGATATTCACTATTCCTTTAGTTAAAACATTTATATAAAAAGCTCTTTTGCATAAGTATTTAACCTTTGGTATGTTTTAGTCTGGTCACCAGTATTTTCTTGTTTTGCTATGAATATTTTTTACAAGATTCCTGATACAGCATTACCAGGAATTCCCTGGCTCCATATATGAATGAACTCTACCCAGCTAACACAAACTGGCCCTAAAGTTGATTCCTCCAACCAGCATATATCTTATAAATCTTGACTGACAATTTAGGTGTTCAATACTCAAGTCGCTTATATCCACATTCTGTCAATTAGGATAGAGTAAGATAGATGTACTTAAAAGGTCCAGATCATCTGCCTTCTGAGACTCTGAGTAAAATGATTCTGTATCAGATTCAACCTTCTTCTATAGGACAACACAACCAGTCTTTCTGGGAAGGGGCGCGGGGCCCGGGCCATGGCCCATAAATACACATTAAGGTATTTCCTGGCTTTGTTTTCAGTCACACAATTTATTCTGCTGACCCCAAAGCTGCACAAACATAAAAGCAGAGTTCAGCACTAAGTGAAGCATAAGAGATTAAGGAGATGCCCAGCTGGTATGGCTCAGTGGGTGAGCATTGACTCATACACCAAGAGGTCACTGGTTCAATTCCCAGTCAGGGTATATGCCTGGGTTGTGGGCCAGTCCCCAGTAGGGAATGTGCAGGAGGCAACCAATCAGTTTCTCTCTCATTGGTGTTTCTCTCTAAAAAAAAAAATTAAAAAAAAAAACATTTAAAAAATTATATTGATCCTGTCCTGTCTCAGAGGGTGTCAGCAGGCAGATCATGAGCCATTGGCTCCTCCGGGTCAGGCTGTAGAACCCTCACCAAAGGACAGGCACACCAGGCACTATGGGACAGTGTCGGTCAGCCATTACCGAGGATGACCAGGAGTTCAGTGATGTGGAGAGGGCCACTGAGACCCTCAAGAACTTCCACCAGTACTCAGTGGTGGAAGGTGGGAAGGAGATGCTGACCCCCTCCGAACTACAGTATCTGGTGACCCAGCAGCTGCCTCACCTTTATGACAAGCAACTGTGGGCTTGAAGAGAGAATCGCCAATCTGGGCAGCTGTAACAACTCTAAACTGGAGTTCAGGAGTTTCTGGGAATTGAAGAAGCAATCAAGAGCGTGAAGCTGGAGAGCTGTCTGGGGGGGCTGAGAACCTTCCCCTGGGATTCTTGGGGGATATTGGGCAAAGGGGGCCTTAGAGACTATGGGCCTGGAAAGAAAACTGCTCTCTTTACCATCACCTTACTGCCCCCCAGCCCACACCTGTCTCACCTCTGCAGGGTTCCAGTGGCTCATTAATGGCACTTACCTTACAGGGATGAGGGGTGGGTATCCCTGCACTTTCATCCTCGATAGCTCCAAGGAGCTAATGGGTCCAGGAATGCCCATCAGAGGGAGGTTCAGGGGGCAGGCTGAGGTCAGGGATGTATGTGGAGGGGTAGCAGTGGTGTAAGGGCCACACCGTTTGGTACTGGATGCAGGGCAGAGAGGAGCTGGACTACGGGAATGATTTGAAAGGGGCTGGGAATAGGGCTGGGTATTTGGTATTGAAAATGGTCTCTAAGAACCTACCCTTCCTATTCTCTTCCCCAACCAAACAAGCTGTCTGTCCAATGTTATACCTTCCTGCCTCCAGCTCCCTCCCAGCCTCCTCCCAAGACTGCCTTTGGGCTAGGGCAGGGGAAGAGAGCAAGGTGGGGGACAGGGTAAGGAGGGTGTGACCTTGGGAGTGAGAGAACCAGCTGGGTGCTTGGGCATTTAAAGAATGACTAATAAAAAAAAAGGGAAAAAGTGAAAAAGAAAATTTTAAGGAGAAAAAAAGTTTAGGGCCTGGTCAGTGTGGTTCAGTGGTTAAGTGTCAACCCATGCACCAAGAGGTCACCAATTTGATTCCTGTTCAGGGCACATACCCAGATTGTGGGCCCAATCCCCAGTGGGAGGCATGCAGGAGACGGACAGTTGATGTTTATATCTCCCTCTCCCTCCATCTCTCTAAAAATCAATAAAGAAAAAATAAAATAGTTTAGGGAAACCTATCTTTTGACTAAAATCTGTTTTCCTGTGGGTGATTAAATGCAGGTAAGTTTTAATGATGGTGCACTTTCTTAGATTTGGTATATAACATCCTTTTTAAAAGGACTAAGTTTCATTTAGATTACTAAATTTATAATTCATGGTCATTCCCCCAAAAAGGCTAACAAAAAAATACATAATAATGCTGTGGTACTTAACAAATTTAAAAGCTTTTTTTAAAGCAGCTTTTGAAATAAACCTCAAATGTTGTGTTGATGTTCACCATTATTCACGAAAACCTTTAATACCATTTTTATCAAGTTACACTGCAAATATGGACCAAAGAAAAACCATCCGCAGGAAGGATTGGTTTACACAATAGAATTCTGTTCAGGGTCTGAACCAGTTTTCTCATACCCACCCCCATCCTCTACATCTCTGTAAAAGAAACAAACAGTAACTTGGTGGGAAAATTCCCTTCACAATGCATATGTATGTGAAATCATCACATCAAACACTTTAAATATCTTACAATTTTATTTGTCAATTACATCTCAATAAAGCTGGGGGAGGTCCAAGTACTGGGAAGAATAAAATAGTTTGCAGTTTATAACCAAGATCCAGATGTTAGCATTTAACTCAAACTGTGAAAGTTGTGGACAGTTGAATGGTTTTATTTTTAAAATAATACAACCAGAAACTTATTTTTAATGCATATACTATTCCCATGAAAATTTACAGACAGGACATTTGACATTCCAGAAAATTTATCTAAAAAGACAAGTTATATGAAGTCTGTGTGTGTATCCTTATTTAACTAAAAATTCTCAAAATTTTCTAAGCTTAAATGTTGCAAAATGTTAGAAATATGTAGAGCAACCATTAAGTACACACTGACATGTAAAAATAAATTAAACAGATTTGGATTATGCTATCATTTTTAAATTTTAATAAAATAGATAATTTCATACTACATAGAGAACAAGTTCATCCACTCATTGATAAAATTTTAGAAATATTTTCTATAAAAAGTTTAGCATTTGATTAGGAATAAATCCATTGGAACATGACTTCTATAGCTAGTGTTCCCATCCTCACCCCCATCCTTATTAAATGAGAAAATTTAAAAATACAGAAAAGTACAAAAAAATAAGACAAGATATCCATTTACCACAATCCAGAACTATCCAGTACTTTGATATATATATATTTACTTGCAGTCTCTCTCGTTTTCAAGAGAAATGTTTACATATAAAAAGTGAAGTCCCCTTTAACGAATCCCCACTCCATCCCTCCCACACTCATCCCCTTCCCGTCCAACTCTTTACAGGCAATTACTATCAAGAGTTGGTCTGTATCATTCCAATCCATTTCAAAAACCTTTTTAAAACATACATTCCTATATGTATCTGTTATCAATATACAGTACTAAATTTTGTGATGAAAGTTTTAATTCAAATCTACAAAAATGTCACGGTATTAGTTGTGTCATTCCGCGACTTCATTTTTCCTCAACATTTGTGATACCTTTCTCTGTAATACTTGTAGATCTTATTTGTTACAGATACATGGTATTCCCATCACAAGTACTTTCTACTTTATTCCTGATGGGCATTTGTTTTCAATTTATGGCCACTACAAGTCATGCCACAGTCAATAATATATTTCCTAAGCATACAAACTCAGAGTAGAAATGCCAGATATTTTTCAATTCATTATAAGGAATGTTTCCCTACTCCCAAGGTCATAACCATTTTAGTATATAGCTTTTTCATATTCCTGTTTTTAATCCTTGTAGATCTTACCTTTGTGCATAGTTCATGGTCTTTTTTTCCCCCTCGGAGAACAAATTATCTCCAAATCACTTTTTAAACAGTCCCATTCTCTTCCCACCGTCTGACGCCATTTCTATCCTACTCTAAATTCTAATAAATGCATAGGTATTTCCAGAATGTCTTCTGTTCTGCTAAAACAATACCACAAAGTTATTTTCCTTTCCAATACTTAACAACTTATTTTTCTTATTACACTGGTGAAGATCTCCAGATCTAGGCAGACAGGATGATAACAAGCATGTTTCCTATTCCGAATTTTAGTGGAAATGCGCCTACAGTTTCAGCATTATATTTGCTGTAGGTTTTTGTTGGGCACAGGATTTTTATAACGTCTTTCTCTCCAGTATGAATCATATTCTCTGGTGTCCCACAAGTTTTTAGTTTTTGTTAACCTCACTTGTGACGCTTTCCTTCAGAATGATAACTTCTGATGTGCTTGTTATGAGGAATAAATTCCTCATGAATGCTTTCCAATTTTCAAGATATTTACAAGGTTTTTAATGAGTATGAATTTTCTGGTGTCTAATGTGGTGTGACTTCTGGCTGAAAGCTTTTCCACATTCACTACATTGATAAGGCTTCTTACCTGTGTGTATTCTCAAATGCAAAGCAAGGGTTGAGAACTGAGAGAAGGCTTTCCCACATTCATTACATCCATAGGGCTTCTCACCTGTATGGCTTCTCGCATGCACAGTAAGAGATGAGCTTTGAGAGAAGGCTTTCCCACATACATTACATTCATAAGGCTTATCACCTGAATGAATTCTCACATGTACAATAAGTGATGTTCGTTGAGAGAAGGCTTTTCCACATTCGTTACATTCATAGGGTTTCTCTCCAGTGTGAATGTTTTGATGTTTTATGAGGTACTTCTTCTGGCCAAAAGCTGTTCCACATTCACTGCATTTAAAGGGTTTCTCTCCTATATGAATTTTCTCATGCTCAGTAAGGTTTGATTTCCCACTGAAGGTTTTCCCACACTCCTTACACACAAAGGGCTTCTCTCCTGTGTGAGTTCTCTGGTGTCTGATGAGGTTTGACTTCTGAATGAAAGCTTTCCCACAATCCTTACACTGAAAAGGTTTTTCTCCGGTGTGAATTTTCTGATGGGTAAGGAGGTTTTCCTTCTGGCTGAAGGATTTTCCACATTCATTACATTCAAAAAGCTTCTCTCCAGTATGGGTGTTCTGATGTTTAATGACATACTGCTTTTGGCTGAAGGCTTTTCCACATTCATTACATTCAAAAGGTTTCTCTCTATTATGAAAATGCTCGTGTTCAGTGAGATTTGATTTGTGGCTGAAGACTTTCCCACATACCTTACAGGCAAAGGGGTTTTCCCCACTACAAATTCTCTGCTGACTGAGGTGTGACATCTGAATGGAAGCTTTCCCACATTCACAAGTTTTCTCTCCAGTATGAATTTTTTGAGGAATGAGGATTTACTTTTACCTGAAAGTATTTCCACATTTCTTACATTAGTAGGACTTCTCTGTGTGTGACCTATCAAATGTAAAGTAAAGGATAGGTGTGAGAAAACTTTATCATTCTGAGCTTATAGCTCTCTCTCCAAGTATAAATATTCCAATACTCAGTGAACTTTGTTAATTCATTGGTTTCTCTTCAGTATGAATTCTCTTCTGCTCAATGAAATGTCATCTAGCTAAAGGCTTTTCAATATTCCTTAGAAACACAGGGCTTATATCCAGCCTCACTTCTACATTTCACAAGGTGTGACACATGAAGTGAAAATTTTCCCACATTCAATAACTTCATAGAGTATGAATCTAGTATGAATGTTCTGGTATCTGATAGGGTTCAAACTTTTTTAACTGAAGGCATTTCCACTCTGATTTACACTTAAAGAGGGTTATTACCATAAGGACTTAGCTGTGGCAGGATTTCCAAATCAATAAAATTGATGATTCATTCCTACACAATGTCCCTCATGATTAAGTCTAAATTGTTTTTGAAACTCTTTATAGGTGTTGAAAAGAATTTGCCTTAAAAGATATAAGGTCTGAGATCAGAAGAAGTATTTATCCAACTTTCTTATATTCACTGCTTTTTTCCTCAGTTTGTACTTTACTGAAGATGGATGCAACTGGCTTCCCAAATTTTGTTGCGTCTTTATCTGCTCATCATCTTCTCAGGCTTCTTCTAAAATGGAGAACAATCATCATTTAAAGGTGTTAATGTATAAAGTGCTTAGTACTGTGGATGGCATAAAATTTCAGATGCTTTTTGAGATTAATTCTGCTAGCCTATTTCACAGTATGAAAGAGAAGCTTCATGACCAATGTCTCCAACTAAATTTTGAGAAGTTAAACTTTGTAAAGGATATCTGGGTAGAAAAGTAACATTCTTCAGTACACAAAGCTTAGATCACTCTTGAAAAATAACCTTTCTCATTTTATAATTCAGCAATAAATGTAACAAACACTGAGGAATTAATAAATAGCATAAAAAGATGACCACATAAAATTGAGAAAGTCTACCTGTGATGCCTAAGAAAGGGAAAGGAATAACCGATAATTGCTTCCTCCCTAAACTCCATTAAATGATAAAAAGGAAAATGGCCCAGACTCACACACAAAAAAGAGGGATATGATATTATAATAGGAGACATCAGTATACACAGACATTAACACATTTTTTGATAACATAATGCAAATGAAAGATTTGCAACACACAGAAGATCTGAGGAAGTTCAAGTAACATAAAGAGACTGCAAAAGAGGATAGCAAGGTCAAGCAAGCCAATTTGTGCCACAAAATATCAACAAGAGTCAGAAAATGGAGGGAAATCAAGTACCTCAAAACAAGAAATAAAGGATGGTGACCAAAAAAAAAAAAAATTAGTATAGCCCTGGCCAGTTTTGCTCAATGGTTAGAGCATGGCCCACGGACCGGAGAGTCCTGGGTTCGGTTCCCGCTAAGGGCATGTACCTTGGTTGCGGTTTGTCCCCGGCCCCAGTTGGGGTTGTGTGGGCGGCAGCTGGTCAATGTGTCTCTCTCACATTGATGTTTCTCTCTCTCTACCTTCCGCTCTATCTGAAGATAAATGCAAAAAATGTCCTCGCGTGAGGATAAAAAACAAAATTAGTATAAGGTGCAGTTGGACCTCTACTCTCCCAGTGATGAGGACAAAGGACCATTCCTTTATATGAAATGGAAGTTATACTTTGCAGAAATTTAATCAGAGAAGCTCCAGACTCAGGGAACACCCAGCAAGATATGTTACAGAAAAGGTAATATACTGAAATCAATATACTGAAATCAATGTGACACCTTCTGCACCATGCTGGAGCTCACACACATAAAATGTTGGCAATCAGGTACAAACACACCTGTGAGCAGAATATAAAAGGATCTTTCTCTGGAAAAAATGAAAGAGTTACAAAAACCCGCAGTAGCATGCCCCTTCAAGATAATACTTGTTGCTTGTATTCATTTCTTTTGCCATAACAAAGGACCTGTCTACACCTAACTTCTTGAGTAAAAGCAGTATAATCTTTCTGCAAGGAGGAGACCTTGGGGCATTTTTCTTTTCATTCACTAAAGCCTATCAGAGAACAAGAACCACCCAAAGAGAAAAGAGTTTAGTGAATCATTCCTAAATATGATTGTGCAACCAACAACCCACACACACTCGGCTAATCCCATTAACATGAAATATCAACATCAAGAGAAAAAAAAACTCTCAAGGAAATAAAAGGAAAAGCAAACAACCACACACCCCTAAAACCAATCACGGACAGTATGAGAAAATATTTATCAGTGAAACAAACAGAATTTTGTAAGCAAGAAACAGAAAGGAAAAGTTCCCTTAGAAATTAGACTGCAGAGAGCAGGGGAAGCTGAAGTAGACTGTATTACTACTCATCAATAACAGGGTCTTCTTTTAAAAAAAAAAAAAGTTTTTATTGATTTTTCAGAGAAAGAGGAAGTGGGGCAGAGAGAGAAACATCAATGTGAGAGAAATACATTGATCAGCTGCCTCCTGTATGTCCCTTACTGGGGATCGAGCCTGCAACCTAGGTATGTGCCCTGACGGGGAATCGAATCCATGGGACTGATGCTCAATCCACTGATCCACACTGGCCAGCCTAACAGGGTCTTCTTAATGCAGAAAAATTACATTGTTTCACCTAGCAAACTCAGGCATGGCTAGGTGCTTTGTTTGGTCATAGAAATATAAGCACAAGTGACAAGTATTATTTCTTGGCAGAAGCTTTCAGAAGACAAATTCAGAGGATTAAACCAAGGTAATACATATAAAAGCTGAGTAAATTTCTATAGTGGTGATGAAAAGCTGTTAAGAGATATGCTGGCCAGTATGGCTCAGTGGTTGAGCATCAACCCATACAAGGAGGTCAGCAGTTCGATTCCCTGTTGGAGCACATACCCAGGTTGTGGGTCAAATCCCCAGTGGGGGGTGTCCAGGAGGCAGCCAATTGACGTTCGAATCTCTCCCTCCCTCTCCTTTCCTCTCTCTCTAAAAATCAATAAAGAGCCCTGGCTGGTTTCACTCAGCAGTTAAAGCGTCAGCCCGTGGATTCAGTTCCCGCTAAAGGCAACGTACCTTGGTTGCAGTTTGCCCCTCCCCTGGTTGGGGTCATGTGGGTGGCAACCAGTCGATGTATCTCTCTCACATCAATGCCCCCCCCCACTCTATCTAAAGATAAATACAATAACGTCCTTGGGTGAGAATAAAAAATAAAAACAAAAATCAATAAAGAAAAAAATAAAAGATAAGTGCTATCAGGTCAGAATACAGCCAGCTTAGTCCTGACCTAGTAGCTCAGTTGGTTGGAACATTGTCCTGATACGCCACAGTTGTGGGTTTGATCCTTGGTCGGGGCACATAGAGGAATCAACTAATGAGGGTAAAGATGAATGGAGCAACAAATAGATATTTATCTCTCTCTCAAATCAATAAATTTAAAAAAATAAAGAATACAGCCAGCCTAGATTGAAGAAAGAGGACAAAAACTCTAGGAGTAGTATCTTGAAAGGAAAAAATAGATATTTCCCAATGTTCAACAATGTAGAAAGTAGTACTGAGAGAGCTTTTAACTATTCTGAGGCAAGTTCAAGAGAGTCTGTGCTAAATACAGAAAACCAAGCAATAAGTATGGTAAAAATCAGTTCTGTGAAAAGCAAATATTATATATAAATAATTATATACATATACTTCTGTTGGCAATTTTTTTTTTTTTAATCCTCACCCGAGGATATTTTTCCTTTTATTTTCTGACAGAGTGGGAGGGAGAGACAGAGAGAGAAACATGGATGTGAGAGAGACACATCGACTGGTTGCCTCCCACACTACCTGACCAGGGCCGGGTAATGAACTACAACCGAGGCACGTGCCCTTAACTGGAATCGAACCCACAACTCTTTGGTCCATGAGCCGATGCTCTAACCACTGAGAAAAACCAGCCAGGGCTTGGGCAAATAATTTAAGTTGTAAGTTAAACTAGCTACTTTTTCATGGGCACCATTTATTTGCTTTAAACAAATTAACAAATCACTGCCTTAAAAACTATGATTATTCAGAATTGGGTACGCTTTGTTAGGTACTACCTTCAGAATAAACAAAAGACAATCCTTTAAAGAAAAAGAAAAATACACTATATGTTGCCAATGATAAAATTTGAGTTTTCAAGAAAAAATTAGAATTTTGGAAAATCGGTATCTTCCACAAGATTGATAGCTTCCAAATACTTAAAAGGCTTTTCTAATGAGACTGGTGGTGATGTTAACAAAATACAATGTTTTGATGTTACATAATGAGATATGTCTACATTTAAAAGATCTACATAACTCAACTGACTAATGCATGATGTTACAAAGTTATGTATGGGTAAGAGATCCATTCAAAGTTTAAGACAGACCATGTTTAAGACATGGATTTCCTGTAAAAGAATGAATCAATTTGATAATATTTCAAATTCCACATTGAGGCTGATCTTGAAAATAAAAATGACCAATTGTCAAGTGTTGGAGTACCAAAAAATACCACAATTACCTGTACAAGCTATTTTAAAATACTTCTCCCTTGCACTGGCTGGTTTGGCTCAGCAGTTAGAGCATTGGCCTGCAGTCCAGAAAGACCTGGGTTCGGTTCCCGCTAGGGGCACGTACCTCGGTTGCAGTTTGTCCCCGGCCCTGGTTGGGTCGTGCGGGTGGCAGCCACTCGATGTGTCCCTTCACGTCGATGTTTCTCACTCTCTCTCCCTTCCTCTCTCTCCCTCCCATTCTATCTGTACAAAAAACAAAAAAACAAAACAGCCCTGGCCGGTTTTGCTCATTGGTTAGAGCGTCGGCCTGCGGTCCCGAGACCCGGGTTTGGTTCCCGCTGGGGGCATGTACCTCGGTTGCAGTTTGTCCCCGGCCCTGGTTGGTTGTGTGGGTGGCAGCCACTCGATGTGTCCCTTTCACATCGATGTTTCTCTCTCTCTTCCTCTCTCCCCTCTCACTCTACCTGAACAAAAAATAGAAAAATGTCCTCAGGTGAGGATAAAAAAAAAAAAGAAATACAATATAATTGGCCCTGGTCTGGTAGCTCAGTTGTTTGGAAGGTTGCCCTGATATGCCAAGGTTGCAGGTTCCAGCTCCGGTCAGGGCACATAAAAAAATCCATCAATAAATGTATAAATAAGCGGAACAACAAACTGGTGTTTCTCTCCCTCTCTTTCTTTCTCTGTCTCAAATCAATGAATAAATTAAAAAAATTTTTAAGAAGTAATATTTATATTTAATGGGATTATTTGTGGTATTTTAAAATAAGTTAATAAATGTTTCCAAGTTTCTCAATTTTACTTTTAAATAAGGTAAATTAATACTAAAATCCATATAAATCAAAGCTCTTTAGCGGGTCCTCATATTTTAAGAATGTAAAGATTAGCCTTGGCCAGGTGATTCTGTTGGTATGAGCATCATCCCATGCACCAAAAGGTTTTGGGTTCAATTCCCTGTCAGGGCACAAACCTAGGCTGCCATTTGATCCCTGGTCAGGAAGGGTCTGGGAGTCAACCGAGCGATGTTTCTTTCTCCCTCTCTCGCTCTCTCTCTGACTCAAAAAATCAGTAAGAATATATCCACACATGAGGATTAAAAAAAGAATAATAATAATAATAATAATAATAATAATAA